AATTGGAATAGACAAATACAAGAACAGCACTGTGCTGTAAGAAATGATGAATAAGAGGGATTTGTATGACCATGATGAGAAAAATACACAAAGTCACAAAAATAACATATGCAATGAGTATGACCAGAAGCATGCGCTGGTAAATGTTTAACACTCAGCTCTCGGGGGGGGGAGTAAGCTGGACACACTTTTAAGTTTAATCCACATTACTAACATTTTCTTCACCATTTTCTTAAGTCTAGACAATCAACAAAACAATAAACCAAGTCCTAACTTGTAGCATTTGCTAATTTCTGAAGTACAGATACTCACACTGAAAATTTAACAATCATCTCTTGTGAGCCAGTATGAACTAGCCCTAGGACAACACCTCCCAAATACAACAATGTAACCGAAAAAGATCACCAAAAGTAGTGAAACTCTGCAAAACTGAAAAACCAATAATAATGGTGCCAGAAAATGGAGAATGAACCATTATTTCCCTTTTCTTGGAAGAGAGGTGGGCAGAATGTTGCATATGTTGAGACAGTCACTGTACAGGGTGTTTCTGCATAACTGTTTTTCTTTGATGGGGGGAGGGGGTTCAAGTTCAAGGTGGAGAAGAGGAGTAGGGGGAAGGTCTTTCCAGAAATGACTTGTGATATAAATATAAAGGTCATCAATGAAACTTATTTTTTTCTTAAAAGAAAAGAGAATGATGGATAATGGAATTAGAAAGAGGAAGCAAGTTGAAGTACGGGGAAAGGGTGGGGAGAGGTGGCATGCTCTACATTGGTCTTCTGTTACAGAGCACACCAGGGAAGACAGTAAACACCATTGGCCCCACCATCAGCGCTCAGTTTTCTGAGCCCAACCAGCTAAGAGCTATTTCAATTCAGTCATTCTGTAAACAAAGGAGGGGTAAGTGAAAGGTTCAAACACGCCTCTCCCAGCTTCCTCTGTTCTTAGAAGCTACTAAGTGAACAGGAGAGTGAAGTGATCAGCAAAAGGAGGAAATATTTGATCCTGCGGTCACCACAAAAGTTGCCTGAAGGTGCCTGGGAGGTTTCTTGGAATTGTCAGAAGTGGGTCACTCTGCACGGGAGTTTCCGAAAACTAGCCACCTGATCCCCACCCCCCACCCCCATGGCCAAGGCCTTCTGACCATGGCCGGTTTGGGGGCTGCCTAGTTCTGATGAGGTTGGAGATATGGTTAAGAGGGTACAGGAAGAAAGAGTGGGGCTGCGGGCTCTCAAAGGAGTGGGAGAAGGATCTTGAGTGGTGTTATGACAGTTTTCAGTGTAAAAGAATTCAACAGAAAGAACTGTTCTCTCTTTCGAACATGCTCTCTGGGGAGCTCAGAGAGATATCAAAACATAGCTGACCCCTTGGCAACTGGTTTTCAAAAGATGGAGCTCAAACTAGGGAACCAGAGAAGCCATGAGTCAAAATGGAGTTAAGCAGATGGGACATGTCACCATCTCTTCCCTCTAAACCTTGAGAGGCAGCATGGCCAAGTGGATGACTGGGAATAAGGAAGAGCTGGGTTCAAATCCTGTCTCAGACAATTACTAGCTATGTGACCCTGAGCAAGTCATGCCTCAGTGACCTTGTTAGTGCAATGAGAAGGTTGAATGAGATTGACTCTAAGATCCGTTCCAGCGCTAAATCTACGATACTGTGGTCAAATAAATCTCCAGGATGCCACTGGGCTCTTCTTCAACTGGTTGTTTATCTGTGCAATATTGTAGCCCTCCAGTAGAAGGTAAATCCCTTGAGGCACTGCCATGTCTTGAATTTAATTACTAACACAGTACAATGGAAGAGGGCTGGATTTAGAAACAAGGGGAGCTGGGATCATATACCACTTCTGATACACACTTATTAGGTGTGACCTTGGGCTCATCTGTAAGAGGAAGGGGGTTGGCCTGGATGGTCTCCGAGGCCCCTTCAAGCTCTTCAGCTTGAGTCTGTGAACTGAACTCTTCCTTCCCCCAGCATCACTCTGATCCCTACCTGGCCTTCTTTGCTGCCACTGAAACTTTCTGTTGCCCAGCTTTAAACCTGGACTGAGAGGCCAGAGCATAGGAGGCAGACTGATTTTTTCTCAAGACTCTAAAGCAACGGCAGGAAGTTCTGAGGCCCTTTCTCAGCCCAGGGCATTCTGGCTACACTTTGTTCCTAAATTGAATACCAGGAGAATATCCATAAATGAATAGCAGGAGACCTTCCATGACTGGATAAAATATAAAAGAATTATAAGAGCATTGTGAGATAAAAATCTCAGGATCAGTATCATTAAGGGATTTACCCAAACACGACTGCTTGAGATCCCAAGTCTTCTCTGACCCTTCTCTCTTCTTCATACCTTGCACATGGTTAACAGTCATGCCAACCTGTGCCCCATAATTACAGCCTTTTGTGTGTATGCCACAGCCACCACCCTAGCCTAAGGCCAGCTGGTCTCCTTGACTCCATTTCTCTTCACCCTGCTTGAACCTTCAAATCACCAGACTAATCTTTTACTACTTTGTGGGACTGCTCTTGACCCAAAACAAAATGGATCCCCTTCACTGCCATTATGGGAATCTTCTGCCTAGAATTCAAATTCCTCTATAATCAGGCCCAACCTTATTTGCTACAACTCTTCAGCATAAACTTGTTCCAACCAGGACAGTCGCATCATTCAAATACCTCACAATCATTGGGTTTTCTTTCAGGGTATCAGAATGTAGAGGGTACTTGAACTCTATCAGATAAAGACAACAGAGCTTAGTTCAGAGGAGCTCTTACATGGTCTAGGCCTGTTCTGCTCCTTCCCCCTCATTGGGGCCTGATAGTATCCCAAAGCCTCCCTTCAATTCCCTGATGTCTGACATCTCCCTCATCACGCCATACCACGCCACACCACACCACGCCACACCACGCCACACCACACCACGCCACGCCACAGCACACCACGCCACACATTTTGTGGGGCTTGTTCTGGGTGAGAGAAGTGCCAGTGAAGCCTTTGCCTGACTCCAAGCCTTTGCTTACACTGGCTCCAAATCTCACCTTCCTCTGATGTCCCCAGCACACAATGACCTCTCCCTTCTCTTAACTCAAATTCTGGCTAGCATCCCAGCTCTCAAAGCCATTCACTGCAGACAAGGGTGTGGCTTCTCTCCCCAGCTAGACTGAGAGCTCCGGGAAGCCAAGAGGCACATGCCACCCACCTCCCCTCTGTATCGCCTGTAATGCTTAGCGCACTGCTGCACACAAGGGCTCAGAATTGGCGGAATAAATGAAAGAGCAAACATGGGGAGACTTGTATGCAGAGTGAAAAAAACAAAGTAAAAGGGAAAAAAATGAATTTAATGACAACAAAATGTAAACAAAGTCAACGTGGAGAGGCAACAAAACTCTGATCAAAGACCACGGACAAAGCTATTGCCATACAATCAAAAGTTAAAGGATACACATCTTAGCTGTATGACCTTGGACAAGTCATTTAACCTCTCTGTGACTTCATCTGCAAAATGAGGGGACAGGTCCATTTCACCCTTAAGTCAATGATGCTCAGTGATCTCTGAGGTCCCACCACACCCTAAATCTACAATTTTGTAATCTCTTCTGCCAATAATTGACAGCAAGGTATTCAAGTTCTTTGACCTTCAGTCTTCTCAATGGTAAAATAAGGGTTGGGTTCAATGAGCTCTCTGGTCCCTCCCAGGGCAGAATGTGGGGGCCCACAAGCAGGGGGGCACTGAAGCCAGCCCTTACTAGCTCAGGAGAGCTGGGATTAAAATTGGCAAATGCTACACATCAGGGCTTCGTGGATTGACTTTTGCTGATTGTCTAGACTTAAGAAAGTGATGGAGAAAATATTAATGCAAATTAAGCTTAAAAATGTGTCCTGTACTAACATGGAACTATATTTTACATGATTGCATATGTATAACCTATAACACATTGGTTATCATCTCAGGGAGAGGGAAGGAGAAGGAAGGAGAGAATTTGGAATTCAAAATGTTTTAAAATGTTAAAATTGTTTTTACATGTAATTGGAGGAAAAATTAAAATATTTTTAAAAAATGTGCCATGCATACATTTTATTTGAGCTAGCTACTATACATTAACCAGTATACACTCTTGAGTCAAAACAATATGTACAAATAAGCAAAGAAATAAAGAATGAATGAATGAATAATGATTATGTGAATGGACATTTTGTTACACTGGGAAAAGACCCAGACTAGGTATCAGAAGACTTGGAGCTAAGCCAGCTCTGCCATTAACTTGTATGAAGCTCATCAATTCCCTTTCTCCCCAGGCCTCAGTTCCTTCTTCTGAGGCAGCTGAGGAAAATGAGGAGGCTGGAGAAATTGGTCCCTCAGCATCCTTCCAGATGAACATTCTAAACTAACTTTCCAGGACTGGGGAGGTACATTTGCAGCCCCAACATGATACCCAATAGTCAGGAAACCAACTGATACCACGATGGCCAGTCTCAAATGTTTAGCAAGTGAAAAATCCGCCCAGGGACAAGGCTACAGTAAACCATGCGGGAAGGAAACACAGAAGTCCTCTTCAGAAGAGACCTCTCTGGGGCAAATAGCCTGAAGAGACAGGGCTAATGCAATTTATTTTAAAAACAGTTCTTGGGCAAGCGGTTCCAGGTCTCCTATGCTCAGGGGTGTGCTGGAGCCCGATCAAACCAGCTCACAAGAGCTGGTTGTTAAATTTTTAGTGTGAGTGTAAATTTTTTTTTGGAGAGCCAGTTATTTTAACATTTTCCCTCATATTCCTGCCTATGCCTTTCCAAGAGTCTCCTAAAACTTTCCAAAAATAAGTTATGAAGAACAGGAAATAGACTGACTCAAACATCAAGAGTTAGAAAAGTGAAATAAATAAAATGCTCACCAGGGAATATACGTTAGACTAAGCTAATTAGAAAAATTGGCAATAGGCATCAACTCTTCCCCTGCCTCAAAGAGTGAGAGAAAACAAACAAACAAAATCTGAGAATGCAGACTTACCCGTGGTGTCCTCTTCCTGGGGAACGTTAGGTTGAGATAGTTATTAAAAAGAGATGATTTTGCTAAGCTAAGGTCACCATTTTCTCCATAATTTTTACCCAAAGAATCTGTTAGAAAAAGAAAAGATTGAAATTCAGACCTTGACAATGTGTTATCCGCAGGTTTAGGAGGAGTCCTTATAACTAAGGGAACAAAAGGATCCAGAAGGGCACCTGGGGCTGAAGAGGGCACTGGATGTTGGGAGGGGGACCCAGAGAGACATCGAAACATCTCTGCCCATGCAGGCCCAAGGAGAAATGACATTCCCTTGAAAGCAGGAAATACCTGAGCTCACACAAGCTCATCTTCATTTCTAGGACACCAGAAAAAGTGGGTGAGAGGAAGAGGTACCTTGAGAATAGCAATGTGAGAAAGGGACAGAATGAGCCAGTAGCCTACACTGACCATTAGCCATGGGACCTTCCCTCAGGCTACAAGGTCATCCCTTTTTGGCAAACAGGAGAGAAGGTAGCAGACCAGTGTTTCCAAAATGGTTTTTCACTGGAGCTAGGAAAGACCAGACTTGGGCTCAATTTCACGGGATGACTTGAGGACCCTTAACAAAACACTGAATTTCTCTGAAAAGCAAGATACTCGTAGGCTTCTTACCAACAGCCCTAAGGGGTGTCCCTCGAAACAGCTCATAGAACTTAGAGAGGTACATGACCAGACTGAGCTTATCTGGCTCCTGGGCAGAAGCCATCTCTTTGCCGGTGGTCATGGGGGGGATTCCAAACTCCCGCTCTGCAATGTCAAATGCCAGCTGGTTGTTCTCAATGGCGTCTTCTTCATTCAAAGAGTCGAAGTTGCTAAGGAATAATGTGAGAAAAGTCAAAAGGGTAGGGGAGAATGGCTTCCTCCAAACACACTCAAAAGCTAAGCCACACTACTAGGCAGGCCTGTCAACATGATATACTGAATACTTAGAACCATTGGAAGATAATAGAATAATGAAATTACTTCATCAGTTCAACAAGCATTTATTAAGGGTCTGTTCTGTGCCAGTCACTGTGATGAAGCTCAAGATAAATAGAGAAAAATGAAAACACTTACTGCTGTCAAGGAATTAATGTTTTTATTGGTCAAAGCTAGTAGCTGTCGTTCAATCGTTTCAGTCACGTCCTACTCTTCATGAACTCATTTGGGTTTTCTCCGCAAAGATACTGGAGTGGTTTACCATTTCCTTCTCCAGCTCATTTTACGATGAGGAAACTAAGGCAAACAGGGTGAAGTGACTTGCCCAGGGTCACACAGCTAGTAAGTGTTTGAGGCCAAATTTGCACTCAGGAAGATGTCTTCCTGACTCCAGGCCTGGTGCTCTATCCACTGTACCACCTAGCTACCCAAAGGTCTAGGAGATACCAGGTTAAAAGCTTCTTAGGCAAAAATATTTGTAGCAGCTCTTTCTGTAGTGGCCAAGAATTGGAAATTGTGGGGATGCTCATCATTTGGGGAATGGCTGAACAAGTTGTGGTATATGAATGCAATGGAATACTATTGTTCTATAAGAAATGATGAGCAGGCAGACTTCAGAAAAATCTGGAAAGACTTAACATGAACTGATGCTGAGTAAAGTAAGCAGAACCAGAAGAACATTGTATGAAGTAATAGCAACATTGTGCGATGACTGACTTTGATAGACTCATCTCTTCTCAGCAATGCAAGGATCTAAGACAACTCCAAAAGATCCATGATGGAAAATGCTATCCACATCCAGAGAAAGAACTATGGAGTCTAAACGCAGATGGAAGCATACTATTTGCTCTCTTTTATTTTTATTTCTTCATTCTCATGGTTTCTCCTATTGGTTCTACTTCTTCTTCACAACATGACTAATGTGAAAATATGTTTAAGATGGATGTATATGTAAAGCCTATATCAGATTGCATGCAATCTTGGGAAGGAGGAGGGGAAGGAAGGGGAGAAAAATTCAGAACTCAAAATCTTATAGAAGTGAATGTTGAAAACTAAAAATAAATAAATAAGATGGGGGAAGTTTCTTGGGGGAATCAACATGTACACAGAGAAGTCAACACAAAATACATGCCAAATAAATATAAGGTAATTTGGATCATAGACTTAAGGCTGATGAGACCTCAGAGATTATCTAGTCTGAGTCCCTCATTTTACAGATGAGGAAACTGAGGCCCAGCTTCAATATACTGCACTGATTCCCTTTCTCCTTCACTCATTTGTGCTCTCTCTACCTCTGTAATGACACCAGAAGAATATGCCTGCCATACAGCAAACATTAATCAATATTTATTTGTATACATTTTTCATCAACTAATCTATAGTGATTTCCCCCAAGTAGAACATAAGCTCCTTGAGGGCAAGCATGTTTCACTTTTGCCAGTGTAGCCACAGTGTCCCACACATATTAGGCGCTTAGTAAATGTTTATTGGAAAAAATATTGAAATAAATACTCATTGACTGACTGGATGATCAAAATGTAAGAATATGCTAGTGAGGTGGGAAGGTGATTCACCAGACAATCCTCACCCTGGCTCTTCACAGATGCACAGCAAATTGCCAGCATCCAGCAGGGGAAATGATGGAGGGAGAGACCACAAATTCAAGGTCTTGCTCCCAGCCCCAATAGTGAAGGTCTACAAGACTTCACTAATCAGAGCTTCCACCGGCCTATTCTACTCTGAGTCTTCCACCAGGGACCTCTGCTATGGGTTGGCAGGACCTAAATGGCACTCACATGAGTTCTGGTCTGAAGCGATGAATAAGAGCACATAAGGCCAGACCACTCCTCCAGGAGGTGGTCAGATCCGTGATGTTGACATGTTGGTAGCCTTCCGTCTGCTTCTGACACCAGGTTAAAAGCTTGTTGGGTCGGATGTCGGATTCTGCAGTTTGGGCAAAGGACAGTGGTAAAGGACTCCCACCACCCACATGACCAACCACCAGGCCAGAGTGATGGACCTGGAGAGGGTCTCAGAGGCCCATCGAGTCTAACTCCCTTACTTGACAGATATCCATAGAGGTTAAGTGACTCACTCAAAGTCCTACAGGCAGCAAGTGGTTGGACCCGGATTTGAACCAGCACTGGTTGTTGAACACAGGCTCTCTGATTCCTTTATATCACATCGCCTCATCCATGCATGCCATGCTAGGCTTTCACTCCCCTCCGCATGTTGGAAATGCGGAACAAAGGAGCCCAGGGGAAATGTCTGCCCATAGCACATGGCAGCCTCTGCTTCATTCTACTTTTTTCCTAGGCCTCTGAGTCTATTTGGAAAGGTGGCTTCTGGGACAGATGGAAATCTGGGCTAAAATGAATGGTGGCGACAACTGGGAAGTCATCACACTCATCCATCCATTCATCTGTCCATCCATGGCCCCATGGAAGGCACTGAAAAGGTTCTGAGTGAAGGTGACCTGGTCTTTGCCCTTTGGCATTCTACACTCTAATGAGGAAATTAAGAACAGACAGGAAACAACCAGAGAATTAACACAGGCAAAAGACATCAGAGCACCAGGGACACAAAAGCGCAGGCAGAATGTAAAGCAAGGATGTAGATTAGATATAATCAGGGGCAGCAAGAAGAGACCCATGTTGCACAAAAATATTCATAGCAGCATTATTTGTGATCCTAAAAAACTGAAAACAAAACATGTTCTCAAGAATTGGGGAACGGCCAAGCAAAACAAGGTGCTGGACTATAGCAGCGTGTTACTGACTTTTATAATCATCAGCTAACATTTAAGGCTGGCAGAGAGCTTTACATAGCTTCTCATTTAATCCTCACAACTGCCCTGGGTGCTATTACTATACCCATCTGACAAATGAGGAAACTGAGGCTGAGAGCGATAAAGTGACTTGCCCAGGGTCACAGTGCACTTAAGTATCTGAGGCAATATTTGAATTCAAGTCTTTCTGATTCCACGTCTAAAGCTCTATCCCCTCCGGTACCCAGATAACTTACAAGATATGGCAAATTGGAAGAATTCAGAGCAAACCAAAAGAGTGATAGGCATACAGTGATTTTTGTTGCTCTAGACCTGTGGTCTAGGGCCAGAATTTCACTGGTGTAGGGATCTTTCCAGAAAGTAACTTCCTCTACCAGGACGAATACTCCTGGAGAGTTGTCTGAGTGGTTATGTGACCGGTTCAGGGACATACATGCATCAGAGGCAGCAGGCCTTGGATCTAGGACTCTGAGGCCATCTCTCTCTCCAATGTGCCGCCTCTCACCCAATGACCACAACGATGTAAATGAAGACATCACTCAAAGGCAACAAAGCCAGGTCAAGTAAATATAAGAGATAATGTGATATTAAGTTATTAGAGTCGAACTCATCTCCTTCTTTGTTAACCACCATCAGGCCACTCTCTCATCGATCTAGTGGGCACTTCTGCTTAGCCATTTGGGGTGGAAATGCTTTGTGAGGGGTAGATTTGGTGTTTGTTGAAAAGTGTCTGGGGTGTCAAAACAAAAGGCATTAGTAATTCATTTTAAAGAGTCCAGAGAGCTGAAGTGCAGCATGTACAGGGGATGACGGAAAGCAGGGAATGGAATTCTAAGCAAGTGAGATAAGCAGAATGCCAACCTATTACCTTTTATGGAGCTCAAAGAGCCTAGTGAGAAAGGAGGACAATGAGGGTCAATGAGGTCAGACCAGACAAGGCCCTGAGAGAGCTTTCTGGCAGTGTGGCTATCTACTTTCTAGAACCACAATTCCTCAGTCCTGTGCTCAGTCTCCTTCCGATAACCATGTCCCTCTCCCCAGCTAGGAACTAAAACACAGATGGGAGCTCATTGCATAAAGACTATGATGAGATGGACTCACCCCGCCGGGAGAGACTGACTGATCTTCTTATGGAGCCCAATCTCTCAAGAGGCAAATGATGCAGCTCCGTAGTAATGTATAAATGCTTTACCTGAAAAGAGGCAAAGACTGGGCAATGGTGCTCTGCCATCCACCATCCATGTACCCATGTCCATGCAAGATCCACCCCTACCCACCCAACACTATACAGCTATCTCCATATTCACAATTCCTTTTTTTCTTTTCTGTTTTTCTCTATCATTGGGCAATATAGCCTAACTCAGGACAGTCCGTGGAGGCAGGCTTATCAATGTTGCTAGCTCTCAGTAATGCATGCTAAGAAATAATGGTATGGATCCCAGGATTCAGACTTAGAGCTGAAGGAAATCTCACAGGTCAAGTAGTCTAGCCTCTTTATTTATCATGGGAGAATTATGGCCCAGAGAGGTAAATGACCTTGTTCAAGGTGCCTACAGCAAATACCAGAGGCCAGATTCACACCCAGGACCCTGGACTACAAATTCAGCAGTCTTTGCACTATGTCTTGTGGCCTTGTGTGACGTCTAATTACACAGCATGATTAGCCTGGGTGGCTGGAGGAGGGAAGTGGTTTTGGACAGCATGGTGGGTAAGGTGGAATAAAGAAACCCATGACTCAGTGAGATCAGGGATGAGGAATGGGCTTGGGGGGGATGGTGAGAGGAGAGGAACCGAGTCATCCTCTGAGGCATGTTGTCCAAGGGGCTTGCTAAGTACATATATGGCATAAGAAGGACTAAGTAACCATTTTCTTCTGTTCTCTGGGTAATGAGGAAAGAATGTGGAATACTTTCCTATTTGACTGTCCTGGGCTGGGAGGTCAGGGGAGGAAGGGTAATTGCTGGTGTGGGTTTATATGTCTGCCCCAAGATTTCAAGCCATGCTTCCCTGCCCAAGCCCAGCGGAGACCATCACAGGGACTCAGGGTCCAGAGAGAGGCTGACCTGATGGGGCTGGACACAGTTGGAGTTGAGGTTTGGGTACCGAGTGCCAGGGTCGAGGGTATACTGCTCAAAGTTCTTACTGATGTTTTCCGGAGTCGTCTGAGGCAACAGTCGGTAAAGACTTTCCCTGTTTGGAACCGAAACCCAATGGTGAGAGGCTGTTTGAGAGGCCCTGGAATACTTCCCTGGGTGAAGCTATTATTTCTCATACCTAGAGGCAGCATTTCCCCCACTATGGCCTTCTCACCCATGGGAACTCTGCAGGGGATAGGCAGGCAGAACATGGAGGGTATGTTTGGGAAATCTGCAGCTTCAGAGAAGCCCAGCCCCATGGAGCTGTGTGGTCCTGATATAACCGCCTCTTGGGAGAGACTGGGTTCTTTAGGCAACAAGGCCAAGGTATCACCTTGCTGTCCTACATGTGTGTGGCCTGTCCCTCTGCTCCTCTAACTTTTGTGACCACTGCGGCATTCCCAAGGTATGGCCACAAGTGTTCCAGGGGAAGAAAAATCACACAGTCCTAATATTCAGGAAAGGGACCTTAACGGGGAGCCATTAAATCCAACCTACCAGCCAATGCAAGAATCCCCTCTTACAGCACAGGAGCCAGAGGTGCCCTTAGAACCTAGTTCCACTAAAACATAGCCTCTCTGCCTTTGGGATCACCAAGGGTTATCAGGCAATTCAAGGCTTGGAGCCTTCCCAGGACAAAAGCAATTAGTTTTGCTGCTTCAAGTCTCTCCCTTCCCCAATATGTCCCCCACAAAGCTGCCAGAATGATATTCCTAAAGTGTCTGCCGTCGTTGAGTCTTTTCAGTTATGTCTGACTCTTCGTGACCCCATTTGGGGTTTTCTTGGCTAGAAACTTGGCTAGAGTGGTTTGTCATTTCCTTCTCCAGCTCATTTTGCAGATGAGGAAACAGACAAATAAGGTTAAGTGATTTGCCCAGGGTCACATAGTCAGTAAGTGTCTGAGGCCAGATTTGAACTCAGGAAGCAGTCTTCCTGACTCCAGGCCCAGAGCTCTCTCTCCACTGAGCCACCTAGCTGCCCATTCCTAAAGCATAGTTCTGACCAAATCAAACCCCTGTTCAGTAAACTCCAGTGTCTCCCTTACTGCCTCTAGGAACAAAACACAAACTCTTCTGTTTTATCTCTCTGTCTCAAGTGTCTCTCCCACAGCAATATTTCTTTTTTTTTTTCTTTTTGTAGGCAATAGGGTTAAGTGACTTGTCCATGATCACACAGCTAGTGCTGAGTGTCTGAGCCTGGATTTGAACTCAGGTCCTCCTGACTCTAGGCCCAGAGCTCTCTCTCCACTGAGCCACCTAGCTGCCCATTCCTAAAGCATAGTTCTGACCAAATCAAACCCCTGTTCAGTAAACTCCAGTGTCTCCCTTACTGCCTCTAGGAACAAAACACAAACTCTTCTGTTTCATCTCTCTGTCTCAAGTGTCTCTCCCACAGTGATATGTCTTTTTTTTTCTTTTTGTAGGCAATAGGGTTAAGTGACTTGCCCATGATCACACAGCTAATGTCGAGTGTCTGAGCCTGGATTTGAACCCAGGTCCTCCTGACTCCAGGGCCAGTGCTCTATCCACTGCACCACCTAGCTGCCCCCCATAGTGATATTTCTTTTGGGGTTTTTTTTTTGGGGGGGTTGGTTTTTTTGGTTAGGCAATGGGATTAAGTGACTTGCCCAGGATCACACAGCTAGTAAGTGTTATGCGTCTGAGGCCAGATTTGAACTCAGGTCCTCCTGAATCCCAGGGCTGGTGCTCTCTCCATGGTCAGAATTCTGACCATGACACTTCCCAGTTCAAAAATCCACCAATAGCTCCCCACTCCAGGATCAAATAGAAATTTCTATTTGGCATTAAGAGCCCTTCACAACCTGGTTCCAATCTACTTTTCAAGGCTTGTTAAGCCTCATTTCCCTTAATGAACTCTGTCTTCCAACCGAACTGGGCCTCTTACTGTTTCACGCCAACAATACTCTGTTTTTGTCTTCAAGCCATTTCAACACTCACCGCTCAGCCAGAATCTCAAGGGGTGGAATTCCCTGGTCCCAACTCTTCACCATCCATGCTGTATCAAAGGCTGCCAGGAAACCTCGAGCACAACCTGTACCCATGGGCCAAAAAGGCTGGGGGGAAGAAACAACCAAGAACTTAGCATCCCACAGCCCAGACACTAAAGGTTCCCACTGTTCCTTATGGTTCTTATACCAATGCAGCCTTTTGGGCTCACAAACAATCATAGAAACCAGGTAGAGGACCAGTTTTCCATGGCATAAGGACAACCAGTCCAGTTCCCCCGAAGCCCAATCATTCTGCATGGTTTGAGTAAAAATGGACAACTTAGAACTAAGAAGGGTAACCTCAGCTTTATTCTTCAAATCAAATATGTGAATACATGCACAAGAGGGGATCAAAATCTCATCCTGCTAGAATACAGAGCTGGCTCCCTTTGTTTTTCCAGTAAGTAAATGGGCTTTCAGAAGGCCAACAGTTTTCTTTAATGAGTACTGCCAACTGGCCAAAGTCTTTCCTGAGACGTTCCCTGAGCCAAGCGTGATGGAGCAGTTACTGTTTGAGTTAACAAGAGCCCAGGGACCCACCCATTATGTAACAGGAATTTTGTTCTTTAAAATGCAAGTTTATTGGCCAAAGTAGAAAGCCAAGACAAACAGTACCTCTAATAAGCTGTCTCCCACCAAGGCTACGAGGAGCTGATGGGATTGTCTCTCCCGGACTAAGGCTGCGTTCTCAGAGGCATACATGGAAGTAAAGTCGAACATCGCCACGTCAGGCTGGCCATAGTGATTCATGGCAAAGTCCAGGGAAGGCAGCTGGTAATTGGTAGCAAAGTCGGCCGCTTCCCTTGCATAGGACAGCAGGCAGTCTTGGTTTACATTCTCTGGGCCAAGCAGTAGCTCCGTATCAACATAATCCTGCAGGGGGGGGTGGGGACCAATGACATGTCACAATGGGGATCAAGACTAGAACTCCAAAGCAGAACTGAAAGAATGATGGACAAAATGATGGGCAACATAATGTGAAGGAAAGCAACATTAAAAGCCATGGGACTCAGAATGATGTGACCCACCATGACTCCAGACAATTAATGAGGACACACTGCCTTGCTGTCAGCCAAGGTGTGGTGAAGTATGTGGGTGGAATGGGTCATACATCACCAGACATAGTCAATATATTGGTTTGTTTGGTTCAACCGTACTTCTTGGTTACAAGAGAGAATTCAAATATGTACAGAGGTGGTTACTGGGAAATGACAATGATGTTTACAAAAGCATTGGTATAACATTTTTAAAATGATCACATCAAAAGAATGTCACAGAGTATAAATGGATTCAGAAAAGAATTTGATAAAGAAAAAAAATGTTATTTAAAGTTGTCCTTTTCCTGGAAAATGGACAAAGACAGGCCCAACTTGGGGATGCTCTGGGCATTATGCTCCAAAGGGCTATGTCAGACAACCCTGAAGATAGAAAGGACCTTTGAATTCATCTAGGATGGCCACCAGAGGCTATCATTTATTCTTTTACAACATTCATTAAGCACCTGCTGAGTCCAAAGCACTGTAGGCAAGGAGAAACAAATCAACTAGCACATATTAAATGCCTACTGTGTTCAAGGCACTGGGGTAGATGTTGGGGATACGAAGTCAAGAGGAAAAAGAATGCCCTGACTCCCCAAAAGCTAATACTCTACCCTGGAAAAGAAGCAACAGGTAAATAGACAGACAAATGCATCATCATTTAAGGAGGATGGGAAGAACATTAATAACTCTTCCAAGGGATTAGAAAAGGCTTCCTTTAAGACACTACCCATGAGCTAAACTTTGAACAAGGGATTCTAAAGGATACACAGGAGGAGGGAGTACATTCCAGTCATCACATCAAGTCTTGGAGATGGGAAATAACGTGGTGAAATCAGGCACCAGCCCACGGGCCAGTTCGGTAGGACACTGAATGAATGAAGGGTGGAGATATGAAATAAGTGTGAAAAGGTAGATTGGAAGCAAACTATGAGAGGCTTCGCGTGTCGAGCTGAAGATGGAGACACATATCCTAGAAGGTAAAAAGTTGGATTTCTCCTAGTCACCCCGAACAAGCCTGCTGCTGGTGCTGCTGGATTTCTAAGAGGAAAGGATACAAGAATTCTCAGTAAATCAGATTGCTACAGGGGTGGTGGCATGAAGAGAGAGTACTTTATCCTGGAATAGGGGGCTTCCTGAAGGTTCTTGGTCAGCGTTGTTGTTTGTCCTTCATTCTTGAAGAGGACCATGACATCAGGAAGGTGATGCCATGACTTGCAGGTAGACTTGGGATGTGAGAAGATTATTTTGCCACCTGTGTGGAAAAGAGACTAAAGCAGAAAGAGACTGGAAACAGGGAAACCTGTTGAAGACTATCACAATAGTCAAGGTGAGTGGTGATGAGGTCTTGAACCAGGGTGGTGGCCACATGAAGAGAGAAAGGAAACACTGCCATCAGACACGTAAGTTCCCAAAAGGCAGCGGATGGCTTGGTTTTACCTTTGGATCTATCCCCAGCATTCATCACGGTGCTTGGTGCATGACACTTCACAAGTCACTTATAATTTTATTGATCATGAAAGTAGAGGTGATATGACTTGGCAAACTGACTGGATATCAAAGATAAAATGTACCAGACCTTATAAGGGAAGGGAAATACTCTGAGCCAGGGGGTGGAGGAGAACAAGGAGGAGGCTCTTCATCTCCATAAGCACCCATTTCTTCTGAGCTCCTCTACCCACCACTTCCCTGCTCCACAGGTGCAGGGGGAACAGGTGGAGCATTAGGAATGATGTCTCCGGGGGCACCTCCCACTCCTGAGGCAGATGTGATAAATAGGAAGTATGTAAGGGAGGACACTAGAAACTACCAGGGCCAAACAGTACCTCTTAATATGTGAGCAATGAGAATCCCAGAGGTGGAGGTCATCGGTCTGGGACCTAGTGTCTAGGGAAAAAGCGGGTTTGGGGACAGAGTACAAGGGGGACTTTTGAATGAAGCTATAGCTTCAGAAAGGGCCTAGACAGAGAGGAAAATACCTTCGTTCATCATAAATGGACCAGAATAAAGGTAAGACAGAAGAGAAAAGATATAGGAAAAGACGGAGTCAAGGAAAAAGACCCCAAGCTGTATCCGTAGAAGTAAACAGGTCAACTCAAGGAACCAGGCAAGGACTTAGGATCCAGAACCAGGGAAAAGGCCAGACAGATTTTCTTGTGGGCAAAACCCAAGAGCCACAACCTGAGTCAGCAGATCAGGTGGCGATCAGGAGAGCTGTTTCAACCCGACACCAAAGTGGCTGGACCTACGGCCCAGACTGGAAGAGATCTGTCTCCTCCAGGGACCTCCAGACTGGAGGAGGTGGAAGTAGGAGGAGCTCTAAAGACAGATATTAGGCCCAAGGAAAAAGCCCCAGGGGAAGGGACTGATGACCAGACTGGATACTGCTACTGAGCTGCACCTGGACTGGGAGTACAGGAAGCTTTTAAGCCTGTGCCAAGCTCAGTAATGGGAGACAGTTTGTGTGGTCTGTGAACTTGACCATGAAATTCTCTCATAGCACAGTAAAGTGTATCTATAAACACAAAATGACTATATGTACTAGCTTCACGGACATGCATGTCTTCAGAGAAGAAGAAACCTTGCAGAAAAGCCCAAACTCCAAAGGTGACGAAGAAATGTCACTGGAGACCTGTGGCGACTGGGAAATGACTTATATGGGGATGGGGGAGAGGGGTTGGCGGGCTACCAGCTGGGCGCTGTGTCATCAGAAGGAGAAGGGAAGGGGCAGTTGGGTGGTGCAGTGGATAGAGCACTAGCCCTGAAGTCAGGAGGACCTGAGTTTAAATCTGGCCTCAGACCAAACACTTGCACTTACTAGCTGTGTGACCCCGGGCAAGTCACTTAACCCCAATTGCCTTAAAAAATGAAAAAAAGGAGAAGGGAAGAGAGCAAAGACAAAGGAATGGTAGATGGAGCACAATGGAACAGAGGCAACAGGGAGAAGAAAAGATTTGGATCTGGAGCTGGCAGGCCTGGGTTCAAATTCCAGGATGGCCGACTCATTGCCTGTGTTGTTGCCTTGGACTGATCATTTTCTGGTTCTTCATTTCTTCTTCTTGGGTCAGACAAGATGGCTTCCAAGTTTCCTTCCAGCCCTCACACCTATGAATCAAGGAGCATCCCTCAGGAGAGTAGGTGCCTCCAAATGCACCTCACAGAATAGGGGACCCAAGGCTATACCACATAGCTCCGAGTTGTTTAGCTCATTCATGCCCAATCATAGTCCTTCAAGAATTCTAAGCTCTGCAGGTCTAGTAATGTGCCCCTCGACTGCAGAAGCCACGTCTTCTTCATCTCCATACCCCTCTTAGTGGCAAGTATGCAGCCGGGCCCATGTAGGTGTTCAGTTCCAAAACGTAGCTATGGTAGACTGTATCAAGCGCTGAACTGGGAGTCAGAAAAACCTAGGTTAGGATCTTGCCTCAGACACTTACTAGCTATGTGACCCTGAGCAAGGTATGTAAACTTTGGCTTCCTCTTCTGTATGAAGGGTGTAATTCCCTCTTGTATCCCTGCCTTGTCATGGTGGAGGGGCTTCCTAGCTCAGTGAAACCATGAGCTATGCTGGGCAGAGTTAATGAAGAAGGGCAGGTAATAGTGGAGAGTTCTGACAAACAGTGATCCACTGGAGGAGAAAATGGCAAACCACTCTGGGATCTTTGCCAAGAAAACCTCATAGACAGTACTCTACGGTCCACGGGGCCATGAAAAGTCAAATGCGCCTGAGCAACAAACAATGGGGGTAATAATGCCTATTGGATGGTACCTACCTTAGAGGTGCAAAGGAGCGACTGACTATAAAACATCTTATAACTGGCAGCTTTTGTTAGTGACCACATCAGAAAGTGAGTCCTCTGTATTACCAGACTCGAGCAGGAGGCCCTGACCTGGGGTCCAGAAACTTTCTTTTTATTAAAATTTATTTTAAAATTAAAATTAAATTATTTTAAAATATTCTGATAACTGTGTTTCACTATAATGAGTTTCCTTTGTGTTTTATTTTATGCATGTAAAACATTACTCTGAGAGGAGGCTGATAGACTGCATCAGGCTACCAGAGGAGTCCTTGATACAAAAATTGGTTAAGAATTCCCTGCCCTGCAGGGACAGCTAGGTGGCTCAATGGATACAGCGCTGGGCCTAGAGTCAGAAAGACCTGAGTCCAAATCCTGCCTCAGAAACTTATTAGCTATGTGACTCTGGGCACGCCATTTAACCTCTATTTGCCTCAGTTTCCTCATCTGTAAAATGGGGAAAATAATAATACCTACCTCCCAGGGTGAGTATCAAATGTGATATTAACTGTGAAATGCTTAGCACAGTGCCTGGTACTGTAAAAATTTTATCTATTATTACTAGTTCTACAGGAAAGTTGCCCATTCTTATGATTCATGGTGACTGCAAATGTGACCCCAGAGCAACAGAGTTATGAAGACCCCTGGTTCAACGAAAAGATCACAGGGCTGAGAGAATTTGAGAGGTTGATTCTATTCCTGGCTTAACCACCAGCTGGCTGGCTGGTTCACATGTCTTTCCACTGGTCTGCCTGCACCTCCAGCTCCTCATCTGTCTAACAAGTGCATTCACTGGTCACCCTCATCCCTACATCACAGGGTTCTTGTACAGAGAACAGGAGATAAGAAATGGTACAAAGGTCATGAGAAGCCCTTCAAAATGAACTCCTACTGTTAGGATCATTTCACATAGACCTGGGTGAGACCTTTGAGAAGAGTTTAATGGATTAAAAAAATGTTAAGTTAAATTTTCAAAAATGACAATAACACCCCACTGTCCTGGGGCTTTTAAGATTTGTGACCTTATGAGGTGAGGAGAGGAGTTATCATCAACCCCATTTTAGAAGTAAGGAAACAAGCTTGGATTAACTAAGTGACTTGCCTAGGGTCACAAAGCTAATAGATAGTTGAGATGGGACTCCAACTCAGGGCTTCTGGCTCCAAAGCCTTGCTGCCTCCTTCCAAGGTGAAGAAGCTACCTGCTCTTGACTTTCTCAGAGATATTCTGGCAAATGCCTTGCCCCACAGCCTGAGGGCAGTGCCACCGCGACCACCCGGAGTCAGATGCCACCGTGAACCACCCTGTGGTCCCTATTTCTGGGGATTTCCTCAACAGCCTCTGCCAGGGTGTTACACATGCCAACATGAAGGAAGCCCTGGGGAGAACTGGATTTCAGATGCCGTGCAAGTTGCTGCCAGAGAAACCTGGCAAGAGAAGGGATGCATTCTTCCGAGACAAGCGGTGATGACTGAGCAAGGTGTGTTTCGCCCAGAGAATGACGCTGACCTCCCATTGCCGGATCCTTATCTCACTACTCTCTAGGGCTTGGGAACTGAGAGTACAGACTCTAGGGTCACCTAACACTCTGTGTTCTTACCACTGTTCTCCAGCCACAGCCACCCTGGGTATCTGATGGTCAAGTACCAGGAGATGGTAGCCAATACCATGTGCGCAAGAGGCTGGAGGTGGAAGAGAGGCATTGCAGCAAGAAAGGGAGACTAGCAGGTGGCCAGACAAGGCAACAAAAGATAAACAAAGGACCCCTGTAACCCAGATGCGATGCTGAAAAGTACTTGAACTTTGATGAATCATAATGAACATTCTTAGTCTTCGAGAGCCGATAACAAAAGGAACTTCCTTTCCAAAGAGAGGTGTAGAGAGTCCAGATGTGGAATGCAGTGTACACTGTCAGATGTGGTCAGTGCATCGGTTGGCTTCATGTAAATGTTTTTCTTTGTTACAAGGGTGAGTTCAGTGGAAGGTAGCAGTGGGGAGAGGGAGTAACTGGGGTATGAAAACAAAAGACAGTAACAAAACTTTAAAAGTGCAAACGATCACTGTCCCCCAGAGTCCTAGAGAAGACCTTCTCCAGGGGGCGTCCACCTACATTCACAATGACCCCCTTGTCCAGAAGGCTCTGTTTCTTCACTGTCATCACAAAATAGTGAGTACTGTCCTTGTAGTAGACGATGTTTTCTAGGTCAATCCCTACAAGGAGACAAACACAACATTCATCAAACAAGGCATAGGATACTCTCTCATTATTTCATTCCTTGGCATCCTTAGGCTATATGTTGTTAAAGAATCTGGCTTCGGTGAGTGGCCAGGATGGAATATGTACGAGAGTTTACTTAACTAAGAACAGCTAGCTGATTCCCACCAAGGCACTGACTGCTTGGGTTGTATAAGACGACAAAGATTTGTTTTTATGGATATCCCCATCACCATGTCGTCCACACGGTATACAAAGCTTACAGTCAGGGCAGGAATGATGATCTGCTAGATGCCATGGCGGATAGAGGGCCAGGCCTGGAGTTAGAAAGAACTGAGTTCACATAGGACTTCACACATGTAATAGCTGTGCGACCTTGGACAAATCACTTAACCTCTGCTTCAGTCTCCCCAGCTTTAAAATGGGGATAATAATAGTACCTCTCTCCCGGGGCTATCATGAAGCTAAGATGAGATAATATTTGTAAAGTGCTTTGCACACTTGAAAGCACTACATAAATACTAGCTACTGTTATTCTCATTATTATTTTTACTCAAGCCAAACAGATATGGAAGTACCCAATCTTTGCTGAAAATACTTAGCACTAGAAAGCAGAACCAGAAACAACAGGAGAGCTTACAGGGATGCCGATTTTATTTCAACGTAAAAGGAATAGCTTAGCAATTCCAGCTGTTCAACAAAAGTATGTGCTGCTGAGATGGAGCAATAATAGTGGATTCCCTGTCAACGGAAGTATTCAAGTGGGATGATGGACAGTCACTTTTTTGGGAGGAAATGTGCAGTTTATTTGGACTTCAAGTTGGGGCTGGACTAGATGACTCCTGAGGTCTCATGTAACTTTGAGATACAGCATTATCATTTGAAAGAAGGAAAGTTAACTGAGACATTAGGATCTCTACAGCACAGAAGACATGGTATCTTGCTATTATGACACAGTGAGAGGCAGTGTGGCGTAATAGGTAGAGAGAGAGCAGGTCTCTGAATTAGAAAGACCTGGGTTCAAGTGTCACCTCTGACCCATCCTGGCTGTGTGACCTTGGGCAAGTCACTTAACCCAGATAACTCTTGAAAACTCTAAATAGTAGAGGACTTGCTGAACTTCTTTGGAAGAGGGAATTTCATCCCTGGAAATTCTTTCCACCAAAGAAATCCCAGGTCTAGACCAAAAAATGAAAAACAAAATTAGGACAAGGCAGAGGTACTCATGAGAATCCCTTTAATCCTATTCAATATGAAGCAGCAACAGGCAAATGATCTCCAAAAGAAACACAAACTGTGGTCACATAGAGCACTCTTCCCCTAGACACTCTGACTTCTGCCAACAGAGAAGACCAAAAACAAATTTCAGAAGGACTCCATAAAGACATAGCATATAAAAAAGGCCCAAGTGAAACATTTTTCAAAATTCCTTTATTCTGATCACTCACCATTAAATACATCCTGTGTGCCAAGCACTGAACCAAGCCAGAAACCTGAACATCTCAAAGGATGGAAACTCCACGGGGCCAGAACTGTTTAATTTTTGTCTCTGTATCGCTAGCACCTGTCACGGGGCTTGGCATATAGTAGCACTCAACAACACAGATTTAGGTCTGGAAGGGACCTTTGGGGTCAGTTAGTTCAGCCCCCTCACTTTATGAATGTGGAAACCAAAGCCCAGAGAAGGTGATTTAACTAAGGTCACACTCAAACATAAATAAGATAACACATCAAGTCTTTCATTAAGCCATGAAACATACCCAGAGTTTACTTATCTGGGGAAAAGACATTTTTGTCTATTTTGGCTTAAATAATAAAAAAAAAGATGCTCATTGATGAGATTCCAGTTTAACATTCTTTACAAATGAGGAAACCAAGGGGAAGTGTCTGGCTCATGGCTATGTGGCCGGTAAATGGCAAAGGCAGGACTAGCAAAGCAGGTCTTGTGTCCCCGTGGTGGCCAGTCCTCTCCTCCTCTACCACACTGCCCCCAAGTCCTTCCTTAGAGATCTCTGTCACTCAGATACCCAAATGAATCTGTGATTTCTTCAATGGGGGGTATTCCCTCCGATACTACACAATGCAATCTATCCATTCCTATCTAGCCTCGTCCATTTCCTCGCCAATGTGTGACACATTGGGGTTCTGCCCAGTAGGCTGGTTGGCCTTTCTCCTGATCTCACAAGGTACCAGATGAGCTCACAGGCTGTGTCACCCTTGCTCTTGATACATGACCATAGTTTCTGATCATATATTTCTTTGATGACACCATTTGCTTCACTGGTCCTTTATAAGCCCTTATTTATAACGGGTGGTGACTCCCACCCATCACGTGCCTCTACTGACCTCTGGGTGATAACTCATTTTTAATGCTTCAGAGATAGTAGTGGTCCATGACTTGAAGCCATAGAGCAACAGGACTGCCCTATGCTGAATAAATGGACTCTGAGCACATCCCAGCCCCACCCCCAAAAGCCAGAGCTCACTCAGGAGTCAAGTCAACAAGAATTTATTAAGTGCCTACTATGTATTATGCACTGTGGTAAGCCCAGAATCTTTCAAGAAAGGCAAAAAATGGTCCCTACCCTCTAGGAGCTTATATTTTAATGGAGAGACAAAATACAAACAGCTAACATACATATAAGATGTATACAGGATAAACTGGAGATCATCTCAGAGGGAAGGCAATGGGTTTTAGAGGGACCAAGAAAGGCTTCTTGCTGAGGGTGGTGAGATTTTGAAAAGCTAATGTTTAGAGATTAACTCCTTGCTATCACTTTATCAAAGATACTTTTCCCTCCAGAGTCCTCAGCCCCTAAACACCCTGGCTGCTTCTCTCTGTTTATTTTAAAAGCATTGGACTCTAAAAAACTAGACTTTAGAAACTGGGGGACAGGGTGGGGGATGGACTTTTAGAAGGGTATGTGGATTGGGATTTGGGAAGGTGGGGGGAGAGGATGGGGGAATTGGGGGGGGTGAATTGGGGGTTGAGAGGGTGAGGAAGAAGATAAGGTAACAGTGATAGGGTAAAAAGAGGCTGAGAAAGAAAAGAATGAGTAAAAATAAAATAGAGGGAAATTCACCAATAGTAATTATAACTTTGAATGTAAATGAGATGTTTATAGCAGCTCTCTTTGTGGTGGCAAAGAATTGGACATTGCAATCACTTGGGGAATGGCTGAACAAGTTGTGGTATATGGTTGTGATGAAATACTCCTGTACTATAAAAAAATGACGAGGTCATTGATCTTAGGAAGGCATGGAAAGATTTGTATGAAATGATGAAGAGTGAAGTGAGCAGAACCATGAGAACATTTTATACAATAACAGCAATATTGTTTAAGAATGACTTTGAGCGACTGAGTCATTTTGACTATCATAAATACCAAAATTAAAAAGAAAGTGCATATGAAGAGAGATGCAATCTGTATACAGAGAAAGAACTGATAAATAGAAGTATGTATAGAATAATGTTACATATATATATGGAAATAAAGAAGGGAAGAAAAAAGGAAAAACAAGAAATTTACATGATAACTTTGTTGTATATTTGGAGGGAATAGCAAGTCGGACATGGTAGGTTTGCAGTTTCATGTGTGATTATCTTTCTTTTTTTTTCCAATTGTACTGCATTAGGGAAATGCTTGTTTTGTTCCCAGAACTGAAAATAAATTTTTTTTTAAAAAGCACTGGATTCTAGCCTGGTCTTGAAGGAGATGAAGGACCCACCTGTTTCTTCTTTAAGATCCTGAAAGAACTTCTGATTGAAGATGAAAGCCACCCCACTGATCTCTTCTACCTTGGCCTCAGCTGTGGTGTTTCTGTTGATGAAGTTGGCAGTGATTGCAATAGCCAACTTCCCACGGAATTCTTTCCTTCTGAAACCTGGGTGGAGAAAAAAAGAAAAATCATGTCTTTTCTCTGGGACAGGCCCTGAGGGCTGAGCAAAGCTAATGGGGTCACTGTTCTTCAAGTCCCCATAAACATGTGAGAGCAGGACTCGGGGACTGGGAATGGTCATGCCACTCCAGGGAACTGGGGTGGACTGAAGCCCCAAATCCTGAGGTTTGTACACAGACACAAGGCATGGCTGAATATCTACTCCTAGCCCTTCCTCCCTCCCTCCTCCTCTTTCTTTCTTCCTTATGTTTTCCTTTGTTGTTTAAATTTTATTTCTTTGTTTGTGAATGCAAGAAACATCAAAAAAGAACATTTCCACATGTATAAAGTAGCCCAGAAAAAGACGAATATGTGAAAGTAAGACACATCACAAGGGTTCTTAACCTGGAGTTCTTTATGGACTGTTGGTTTTGTTTTTATATTTTGATAAGTATATTTCAATATAATCAATTTCCTTTAAAATTCTCCCTTCTGTGTAATCCTATGTAGCTCATTTTCTGCATTTAAAAACGCTACTCTGAGAGGTTTGTGTGGGTTTCAGCAGACTTCCAAGGGGTCTACAACAAAAGGAAGTTAAGAACCTCTGCCCCATTTGTTACATGAAACTGGCTTTCAAATAAAAATCAAAAGAGGTTATGATGAATTCAATATGTTACTTTCAAAGCTGTCCTGCTTATCTGTGTTTCCTTCTGAAGTTTCTTCAGTCCTCTCCTATACAGTTATAAAAATATTTCAATGATTTTTTTGTAATCCTTTTGCTAGCTTCTTCTCCCTCTCCTCAAAAGGCAACCAAAAAAAAAGAAAATCACAATCTTTGCCTCAAAAAGCAACAAGAGAAAATCAAGATCTTTGTCTCAAAAAACAACCAAAAAAGAAAAATCACAATCTTTGTAACAGATGAGCACAGTCAAGCAAAACAAATCTACAATTTGTTCTTGCTGCTTCTGAAAACTCCAAGGCCAGGCCTCTTCTGTCATTATCCTAATACAACCCAATCTCATCCCTACCAGTGATATGGTGAGGATATTGCCTTATTTTCCTCAAGAATGGAATCTTTGGAGTGTTTGAGAGGAAGTCTAAGTAAGGGACCTCCAAGTACAATGCTGGGTGCCAGCTGGCTACATGGGGTGAGCGAGCTAGGGGGGTAAGTCGCCCATCAGTCAGGTGGACCTTCTCAGATGGCACAGGGACCCATCCCAGCAGCACAGTGGCTTTCCAACCCCTCCCTCTGAATTACAGAGGCTTTGCTGATGGGAAATATGGGGTGCTACCTAAGGGAGGATCTGACTTCTAGGATTACAGAATCAGAGCTAAAAAGGACTTCAGGGGCCATCTGAGTCCAAAAATGAAGAATAATTTCTGGAGCTAAGTTTCAATGTGACTAGGTGTGGTCATACCTAATAATATTGGGGGAAAAAAGTCATCCAGATGAGAGAAGGTGAAATGCAGGTGAGGTGGCCCTTTTCCCTAAGGAGCCTGAGTTCCTGCTACAGGTCTGGAATGGAATTAGGCAGCAGTTTCCTTTGCACAAATGGGAGGGATTCAGAGGTATGGTATGCCATCAGATGACAGATCCCCAGATCTGCCTCCTACCTCAGTCATGTTCTTCCCCTCTCTCTCTCCTTCTCTCCTTCTCTGTCTCTCTCTCCTCTCCTTCCCTCTGTCTCTGTCTCTCTCATCTCTCTCTGGGATCTTACTTACCTGGGCAACCACTGAAATGACTCACCTTTGGGAGCAAACCCTGCCCTAGTGTTCACCACACACCCAACACTAACCGGTCAATCACCCCAGCAGACTTGCTTGGCTGCCCATGCCCCCCTGAACGTGGGGCATGATGGGAAGGCAAACCTGTCAGATGTCAGCTGGCTTTCCAAATAAAGGAACACAGCGCTGGAAGGAGGGAATCTATGCCAAGGTAGCAGGGCCAGCTAGCTATTTCCTGGGTTGGGAAAGAGCTAGGAGCCAACGGCTGGTGGCAGTGATAATGGGGGGCTGAAAAGGGTAAGGGAAGAACACATGTACCACGTAGGCACTAGGGGTCAGAGGAATGGAGGATCCTCCCAGCGGCATATACATTCTGGCGCCTCTGAGCTCAAAGCCCACGAGATGGAGAATCAACAAGCATTCATTAAGCACTCACCGTGAGCCAGGTACTATGCTAAGCACTCAGAATTCAAAGACAAAAATGGGAGTAATCTCCTTCCTTTAGGCATGTGAGTGAGTCTATGTGTCCCAGTGGTCGGTACAGTCAAGTTCCAATTAGTGTGAATAAAGAATCGATGAAGTGGTCACATTATTCAAATTCACACTGTGTATTTCCAGTGGACTAGAATGAATTACCATATTTTACATAATTATAACTTTGAAGAATGGGAATTCAAATACACGACCATTTCCAGGGATTCATTATTTGCACTGTTATTTGCACTAATCAGAACCTAGCTCTGGTCTCTTGATAATCCTTGTTTGAGTGCAGACACCCCACCCCCACCCCCTACCCCCTGCAAAAACCCAAAAATCTAATTAACATATCTTGGTATGCTGGTTGTCACCAAAGCAAGGTGACACGATAAGGGTCCTTGCCCTCCAAAGGCCTATACAGCCTTAAGGCTCATCCAGATATGTATACGTGTGTGTGTGTGTGTGTGTGTGTGTGTGTGTGAGAGAGAGAGACAGAGAGAGACAGAGAGAGAGAGATGTATGTATGTTTGTTTTTTTCCTTTTTCAGTACCAGTCCCACAGATCACAGGGCACACCCTCTTTGTCGGAAGTGGTCAGTTAGTCCACAAACCTTCACATCCCACCCAGTCCAGGCCTTTCTCTCCTCACCCATGCCATCCATGCCGAGTCCCCTTAGGAAAGGACACCCCTCTCTCACCTTCTAGAGTATTCCTGCGGCCATCAGCACCAATGATGACATCAAACTCAAAATCAGACAGTGGATGATCTGCAGGTAGAATTTCTGCGCGCCAGCCTATCTCTAGAGAGAAAGGGAAACGTGGTGAGTTGGTTTAAGGGTGGTCAAAATGGCCACAGGGTTCATGGGCCTCCCCTTGATTTGTTTCACGAGAAAAGGGAACTCAAAGGATTCACAACTCAGCCAGTTCCTAAAATATTTCCTCCCTACATCACCAATCCCTTCACATAACTTACCAGTCCCTAAAGGATTGTAGGATTAGGGACAGAGCTAGAAAGGACCTTCTGGGTCACTCTGTCCAAAGCCCTCATTTTACAAATGAGGAAAATGAGGCCCAGAGAGATGCCCTAACTTGTTGGGTTATTGTAGTCGTGTCTGACTCTTTGTGACCCCATTTGGGGTTTTCTTGGCAGAGATACTGGCGTGGTTTGCCATTTCCTTCTCCGGCTCATTTTATAGGTGAAGAACTGAGGCAAACAGGGTGAAGTGACTTGCCCAGGGTCACACAGTTAGTAAGTGTCTGAGGCCAAATTTGAACTCAGGAAGCTGAATCTTTCTGACTCCAGGCCTGGCGCTCCATGCACTATGGCACCACCTAGCTGCTGCTGTTCCCTCTTACTACTGTTATTACTAACAATAGCTAACATTTATGTAGTGCTTACTAGGTGCCAGGCACTGTGCTACGTGCTTCACAATTCTCTCGTTTGGTCCTCACAATAACCCTGGGAGCTAGGTGCTATTATTTCCCCGATTTTACAATTGAGGAAATTGAGGCAGACATAGATTAAGTGACTTGTCCAGGGTCACACAGCTAGTGGCAGCTGAGATTAAATTTGAACTCAGGTCTCCCCAACCCCAGACTCAATGCTCTATCCACTGAGTCACCTAGCTTTCTTCTCTCCCTCCTCCATCAGTTTGTGAGATCATAGACTTAGAACCGGAATAGACTTTAAGAGTTTATTAAGTCCACATGGCTTGCCCAGGTCACACAAGTAGTACTTGAATCTCCTCCCCTATATCCCCACATAAATATAGATATATCTAGGAGTAGTCTAAAGCAATTTCAGTATTTTACTAGGGATTGGTTTGGAAAATGAGAAAAGTGTGTGAATATTTTATTCTCAACCAAACAAAACAGAGCTTCTGGATCAGACCATGTGGCCGTGGCTCCCTCCTTACTGGGGCTTACTGGGGACATGCCTGAACCGCAGTGTCAGCTGTCTGAGAGAGGAAAAAAACCCTCTGGGAATTGAATTAGCAAAGTGGAAATAATGGAGCTATAGTGGCTCCCACTGAAGGTGAGATGGGGATATGGACCAAGCTAACCCAGAAAATTGTCAGGTAGAGTAATAGCCTAGAAACACAGAGGGGTTTAATTTATACAGATTTCGTTTTAAGTCAGAATGAAAAGGACTACTTTGGTTTTCCTGATCTTCAGGAGGCTCGAGGACCTTCACAAACTCTACGTTCACATGGATTTCCACTCCCAACATCAAGGCCACCTTAAACAAGATGAGCTGAAGCTGTCGAATACCTGTAGGAAAGTAAGGGAAAACAGAATTACTTCAGAAGCCCAATGATCCCGGCAGCCAATGCCGTTGCCTGAGTGACATTGGATAAAGACCAGGTTCCAGTCAACAATTATCAGCCCTCACATGGCCTAGTAGGAATGCCCCACAGGCCTGGAAACTTCTATCTCACCTATTCCAGCTCCCAGTGGAAGTCTACTGCTGGCAGAAACAAGATCCAATCAATCAATAAACATTTATCAGGTGCCAGGCATTGAGCTAAGCCCTGGGGATACAAAGAAAAGTAAAAGATAGTCCCTGCCCTCAAGGAGATCACAGTCTAATGGGGGAGATAATACACAAAAAAAGAAACTGAAAGAGGGAAGGGGGGATATTTGGGCTCGAGGACATGATGAAGTCCGGAGGAGTGCAGCCAGCACTGGGAGATGATGCCACAGCTGCCCTGGACGCCCTCCTTAAATGGAGGAATTGGAAGGAGCTCTCCACTGTCTACCCTTCACTCTCTCCAATCAGAGGGAGGACGGGGCCCCAAGGGCTGTCCCTGAGGAGGTGTGAGTTTCAGTGTTGGTGTGACCTTGCAAGATGGTGAGATGTGGGAGAACATGATGAAGTTCAGGAGTACAGCCAGGTGAGAAAGGATTGCATACAATTCATTTGTACAGGGACTCAAGGTCTAGGTAGACCTCTTTCCAGGAGGCCCCTGGCTCAACAACAGCCATAATGTTATTATTAATCCCTCTTCACTCTCACCAAGGAACTTTCTCCTCTATAAAACTGATTCCTAGAGTCCCCACTTTTTTCCTTTCTATTCTTGGCTTCTTCCATGAGGTCTATGTCCCTACCGAATTGACTGCAGCTCAGTACATCTAGATTCCACAAAAATGTTAGTGGCTTTTTGTTCCTTGATGATTATATTTCAATCATTTGCCCTATTCCTCCAATCACCATTCTCTCTAACATCCCTGTCCAACACACACATCTTTGGGCCCCTCTGCCTTCCATGTCTATTAGAATGTAAGCTCCCTGAGGACAGGAACTCTTTGATTTTATTTCTTTTCCTAGCACTTAGCACAATGCCTGGTACATACCATTAATAAATTCTTTTTCATTAATTCATTCATTATAGCTGGTTAAAGTTCTCTCTCACAAATTACAATTGTTCATTCATTTAGCTTATCCCTTAATTGTCCCCACAGGGGACAGCACCCACGTAAAAATTCTGAGCAAGCTCTCCTCTGCCGTTATTTCTTCCCCAGACTCACACTCGCTCATATTCCTTACCCCATTAATTCATAAGATTATAGACTTAGAGCTGGAAGACCACAGAATCTATCAAGTCTACCACTTGTCCATTTTACAAATGAGGAAACTGAGGCACAGAGAGTTTGCCTGACTTTCCCAGGTCATCTTAGTAGAGTCTGAGGTAGGATGTGAACCAAGGTTCCTCCTGACCCATGCTGCCTTCTCAAGTTCCTTCAAAGTTCTTTCCCTTTTGGGGGCTGAGTTCAACTGGGCTTCTTGTCAGAATGCAGTTGGCATCATGGCCACCTCCCTCAATAACTGGGCTAGTTGCCCTGGCTCTGGCCCTAAGCTACCTGGTTTTCTCACTGGCTTTTCTCTGCAGACTATGGCATGGACCCTGCTCAGCCACTATTATTCCATTATCATTGTAATTATTATACTATAGCCACTTATTATTATTATTCTACAGCTTTGAGCTGCCACCTTAGATCCAAATGCTCTTCTCTCTTCTCTTTGCTTTCCTCTGTCTCACCTTCCCTATCTACCCTCTCTTCTTACAGGACTTATATTAGCCCCCACCTTGGATGGCCTGAGACAATAGAAAGAGGGTTTCTCTCAGAGTCCGAAGGCCTAGGTTTGGGTCCTGGTTCCAACCTCTCCTTGCTGTGTGGTAACTGTCTCCTCTTCTACAAACAGGGCTACTGGGAGGGAGCAAGCACAATGGTACAAGAGGGAGGGCACTGGCCTAGGAGTCAGAAGACTTAGGGTCAAGAGCTAGCTCCTGTCATTTAAGTAACCATGTGACTTTGGGCAAGTCACCTTACATCTCAAAGAATCACACAATTTGAGAGCTGAAAGGAACCTCATCTCCCATCTGGTCCACTATATACATGAAAGGAATTACCACTACAAGAATCCAACAAGAGGCCATCTGATCTCCTCCTGGAGATCTCTTCTAGGCCTCAGTTCCTTCATTTGAAAAGCGCTCTCTGAGTCCCTTCCAACTTTACCATTTTGGGGATCCACTCATATAACTTCCCTCTACCTCCGCCATCGTGAGGCAAGCGCTTTAAAAAGTGTAGAGCACCAGGCAAGCAGTTCTATCATTACATTCCTTTTTTATCTGCCCCTTCCTGGTGAAGTTGGGTCTGGTCCAACCTATGCATCTGCCTTTATAGCTTCACAATCATTTCTGCATTTCAAAAGCAGCTGCTTGTCTTAACTGTCCTTTTCAAGGTATTAGGACTTAATATTTATGCAGATAATCCCAGTCTCCTGTCTAGGGAGTCTCCCCTAAATTCACAATCCCTGCCTGGGGAGATGGGATATTTCAAAGTCAGCTATAAATGATTTTTAATGAACTCCTATTCATTCTCCACAAATGCAGAAGGTCAGGCATACAGCTGGATGGGAGTCAACAAAGGAGGCCCCTGGGATTAGCAGGGAAGGTGTGATTGCCTACAGGCTTCAATGCAGTTATGCTGCATGCATGGGTGGGCTTGCTCCTTCATCACGTCCCACACCTTTCAGGATGTGTGAGCTGCTTTGGGGGATGTCTAAGGTGTGTTTGTATGGAAGGGGACTGTCTTCCTCCCAGCAGCATGCTGGAAATGTTTAACAATTAGCTCTTCTGGGTGGGGGGAATGTACTCATGACAGACCTTTAAGTTTAATTTGCATTATTAACATTTTCTCCACCACTTTTGTAAGTCCAAACAATAAGCCAAGCCCTGATTTGTAGGTTTGCCAATTTCTGAGGCATAAATGCTCACACTGAAAAGTTTAACAATCAGCTCTGCCTGTTCAAGCTGGCCCCAACACAGCCCCCTCTCCTCTAGCCTGTGGAATGGACCACGATGCCCCACCAAGGGCCAGAAGGGCTATGATAGGAAGAGAGATGAAAGGTGAAGACTGGAAGAATGGGGAGAGGGAGAGGCATTCTTGGCCTGGAGCAGGAAGGGAAGAGGTGGCCAAGCTGCTATTTTTACCCTGGGGTGATCACTCTGCAGGGTTTGCCCACCTGCCCCTCATCCAGGGGAGGACACTGATTACCTCCAATCTACTGCCAGAATCCTACCTGAACAGGGGGAGAGGAGAGGGTTTCCCAAGAGAGGAAGTGGGATTTACCACCCCAACTCCCAGGAGCCTCTGCAGCTTCTGGAAGAGGGACCACATGATAAACTAAGGAGAAGTAGCCCAGGGTAAGGAAGATCCAGGGTTCAAGTTCAACCCCAGACATGCACTGGCTCTGGAACTCTCGGCAGATCACTTAGCTTCTCAATGACCCAGGAAATGCTAGTAAGACTAGAAGATGCAAAACAGGTGTTGATCTGATCTGCATTGCTGGAGAGAGGGACTTACAGCTCTTCTTCGCTGATGCAAGAGGAGGGAGGGAGGGAGGAAGGGAAGGAAGGAAAAGGAAAAGAGGAAGGAAGGGAAAGAGAGAGAAAGGAAGGGAGGGAGGGAGGATGGGAAAGGAAGGGAAGGAGAGAGGAAGGAAGGAAGGAAGGAAGGAAGGAAGGAAGGAAGGAAGGAAGGAAGGAAGGAAGGAAGGAAGGAAGGAAGGAAGGAAGGAAGGAAGGAAGGAAGGAAGGAGGAAGGAAGGAAGGAAGGAAGGAAGGAAGGAAGGAAGGAGGGAAGGAAGGAAGGAAGGAAGGAAGGAAGGAAGGAAGGAAGGAAGGAAGGAAGGAAGGAAGGAAGGAAGGGAGGGAGAGAGGAAGGGAAAGAGGGAGGGAGGGAGGAATGTAAAGAAAGAAGGAAGGAGAAGAAGAAAGGAATGGAAGGAGGGAAGGAAAAGAGGGAGGGAGGAAGGAGAAGAAAGGAAGGGAGGAAGGAAAAGAAGGGAAGAAGGGAAAGAAGGAAGGAAGGAGGGAAAAAGGAAGGAAGGGAGGGAGGAAGAAGGAATGGAAAAGGGGAGGGAGGAAGTTTATACTTCCAGCCTTCTCTAATTCTAAGGCTGTAATAATCTCAAATTTCAATGCAGTTGCCATATTGGCATCTGACTTAATTTGAAGATCCCCTTTGCAGTCTATTTTAGGCAAGTTATTTCTCCCAAGTCCCTAGTCTTAGGGGTCCCCACCCCAACCTTAAACCTTTGCCTCAGCTTCTAAGAAGAGCCCTTGAGGCCTAAGCCCTCCACCTCAGCCAACGTTCACATTGCATTTAAAGAAAGCCAACCTCAGAGGACAAAATCCTAGACTCCCACAGTCAGAAGTTGATCCCTGTTACTTGCACTGCATGTGACCCTGACCATATGGCCTCTGCCCTGGACAAGCCATGCTTTGAAAATTCTGTTGAGTTCCAGGACATATATTAGGAGAAACTGACAAGTTGGAACTCCTCCAGGCAGGCCACCAGGGTATATCAATGACAAATCAAAGCTATGCTGTATAAGGATTATTTGAGAAAACTTGGGATATTTAACTAAGAGTAGATTAGACTGAGGGGAAGGAAGGGGAAACCATAAAGGTGTTTTCAGCTATGCAAATGGCTTTCCTATGTTTACTGGGGCAAAATGATGTCCAATCAAACCCAAATCCAAGGCAGATGAACGCACCTTTGGATTAGCTCTGCGGCCCTTGTTAGAGACGTGGGTTCTAGGAACCTCATAGGAAGTAGGAGATGAAAGGTGCTCTTTGGGTAGGCTTCAAACCAACTTTGCTGACAAAACTTAGAGAAACTGGGACAGAAATCTCAGCCCAGGGAATCAGGAGAGTCACAGTGAGCTGGTGGCACAGGAGATGGAGCACTGGGCCTGGAGTCAGGAAGACCTGACTTCAAATCCTGCCTCAAATACTTACTAGCTATGTGACCCTGAACAAGTCACTTAACTTCTGCCTGCCTCACTTTCCTCATCTGTAAAATGAGGAAAATAATAATAGCACCTACCTCCTAAGGTTATTTTGAAAATCAAATGAGGTAATATTTGTAAAGCCCTTAGAATAGTGCCTGGCATACAGTAGGCATTCAATAATATAATAAGGTATTTTTTGGCCCAGTGAGAGAAATTAAGATTTATTCTGTAAAAATCAGAAGACACTAACTGGGGGAATGTTGGAAGGGATGAGATTTGTAAGGAGAGACTGAGCAGTGTGGTACAGAAAGGGCTTCCTTGGAATCAGGAAGACCTCTGCTCAGGTCCCCCTTCCCAGGCATTCTGGCCACACTGGCCATCACTGAGTGAGTGATTTAACCTCTCAGTTCCCTAATCAACTCTAAGTTATAGGAGCTGCCATCTGTATGGGTGAAAGATATTTCCATACCGGAAATGAAATCACCTACAAATTACAGACCAGTCATTGATTTGCACACGCAGAGAGATTTTCTATACACCAGGAGTGCCTCATGCCAAATAAATCCAAGTCCAAGCCTCTCCCACCCTTCAAAAAATGACTTTCTTTCTGTTAGAACTACCCCCAAATGGAGGAGTGATGGCCCTATCACTGAAGCCTGGATGATCATTCATCAGGGATTCTGCAGACCTAATTTCTTTACAGCGATGATCTAACATTTATAGAGTACTTTAAAATCTGGCAAAGCCCTTTATACATGTTATCTTGTTTGATACTTACCAGAACCCCATAAGGTAGGTGGTAGACCACTCTGCTCAACCCTGAGAACCCTTGGAATCTGCAAGTCTCCTCCCTGAATTCCAGCTACTTTCTTCCCTAAAGAATAGGGCTCACCATCTTACCTTTCCTCTTAAGAGGCACCCCCCAAGGAGGAAATGCTTCCCTGTTTATCCAACCACAAAATGCAACCTCTGTACAAACTGTCCCAGCCTGGATCTCCATCAGCTCCCCAGAGATGCCTCTGCAGACTCACCCCCACCCAATCTGGAGCTGCTTCAAGCACTTACTGATGTGGTCGATGGAGCCTGCGCAGAACTTCCCATAGAACTTTTTGGCACCGAGGCCCCGCAGGTCATGAATGGTGAATGGCCAAAGGTGCAACACGTTGTTCCTGGAGAAAGTATCTCTCTTCTCCACCACGACCACTTTGGCTCCCAGATAGGCAAGTTCAATGGCAGTACGCAAGCCGCAGGGTCCTCCTCCAACCACCAGACACTACAGAAAAGGCAGGAGAAAAACAACTGTCAGTGACCACCAAGCTCACTGCCCAAAGTCAATCAATCAACAAGCATTAGAGGTGTGGTAGATAAAACACTGGACTTGGGGAGATCTGAGTTCAAATCTTGCCTCAGACTCTTACTAGTTTGTGAGATCTTGGGCAAGCAACATAACCTCTTGGCCTCTATTTCCTCATCTGTAAAATGAGAGTAACAACAGCACCTACCTCACATGGTTATAGTGAAGATCCAATGAGATTGTAAATGTATAGTGGCTTTGCAGACCCTAAAGTTTTATGAAAATGCTAGCTATTCTTATTAACAGGTACCTACTTTGTATCAACCCTTGTGGTAGGTGTCAGAGATACAAAGACAAAAAGTGAGACCACAAACATTTGTCATTTTGTATGGAGGCTCCATCTTCACAGAACTCATAGTCTAGTAGGGGTGATAAGAGGTTCAGAGGAGATGGCTAATATCCCAGCTGAAATACCCAGAGAGAAGGAGCAGGGTATAGTAGATAGATGGCCAGCCCTGGAATCAGGAAGACCTGGGTTCAAGTCTTGCCTCTGGGTGAACATGGGTAAGTCAGTTAACCTTTTAGTGCCAATTAGTTAACAAGCATTTATTAGGCACCAGTTACTATGTGCCAGGCACTGTGCTAAGCACTAGGGATATAAGTGCTTGTAGAATGAAACAATGCTTTCTCACAAAAAGATTACATTCTGATGGGAGAGAAACTCTGAGACAACAAATTACACAGTGCATCAGTGGAAGACATTTCCATACCAGGAGTTGCTTAGATAAATGAAATCATAGGTCCAAGGAGGAGGAAAAGTACCCAGTGAGATGGAAGAGATCATTTTGAGTTTGGGCAAGGGCTATCAAGGAAGGCTTCGCAGAAAAGGTGAGATTGGATTTGGGCTTTAAAGATAAGGTGGGATTTTGCTTGGCCAAGGACAATCTAGCCTGAGATAAAACATCTGACCCATTCAGAGAACAACAAGGCAGCTAGACAGAAGCCACTACCAATGTAACTTTCTAGGTTTCCCGGCTGCTGCTCCCTCCTAAGTGTTGTTTCCTTTATTAGAATGTAAGTCCTACTAATCCACTGTTGATGAAGTTGTGAAGTGGTCCAACCATTCTGGAGGACAATTTGGAACTGTGTCCAAAGGCCTGCACAACTGTGTAGACCCTTTAACCCAGCAAAACCACTACTAGGTCTGTATCCCAAAGAGACCAAAGAAAAAGGAAAAGCTACTATTTGTACAAAAATATTTATAGTAGCCCTTTATGTGTTGACAAAGAATCAGAGACTGAAGGGATGTTCATTAATTGGGGAATGGCTGAACAAGTTGTGGCATATGATTGTCATGGAATACTATTGTGCTGTAAGAAATGATGAACAGGATGATTTCAGAAAAACCCAGAAAGACTTCCATGAACTGATGCAAAGTGAAGTGAGCTGACCCAGGAGAACACTGTCCATGGTAACAGCAATACTGTGTCATGATCAGCTGTGAATGACATAGCTATTCACAGCAATAAAATGATCAAAGACAGTTCCAAAAGACTCATGAAGAAAACTGCTATCTACCTCCAAAGAAAGAACTGATGGAGCTTGAATGCAGCACAAAGCATAATTTTTAAACTTTATTTTTCTTGGGTTTTTTTTGCCTGTGTTCTCTTTTGCAACATGACTAATATGTAAATGTGTTTTGCATGACTGTACATGTATAATAACAATAATCTATATCAACTTGCTTGTTTTCTCAGCTCTGGGGGAGGGGAGGGAGGGAATTTGGAACTCAAAAATCATAAGAAACAAATGTTAAAAGTTCTTGCTACATCTTACATTCGTGTGTGTGTGTGTGTGTGTGTGCGCACGCGCATACACGTGCACCGCACATGCCCAGACTTTAGCACAGTGCTCGGCACATAGAAAAGCATTTAAGTGAATAAGTGAATGAAAAAGAATTCATTCTCTGAGGCAACGAGGCACCGTAGGAAGGGCGGTGGATCTTCAGAGTCAGAGGACCCGAGTTCAAACAGCATCTGTGTCACTTAACCACCAGTATTATCTCTAGCAAGTCCTTTCTCCTTTCTGGGCCTCAGTTTCCTCATGTGAAATGAAGGACTTGGGCTAGATGACCTCACAAGTCCCTTCTAGCTCTAAGACTTCATTCAGGAGACAATAGGGAGCCCCAGCTCCAGGTGACCCGCAGTTGACTGTCCAAGCAGAAGGAAGCAGTTCTAAGAATCTGAGGACAAGCTGCCTCCAGCCAGCCAGGCCACCAGGCTTCAGGCTAAGACTGGGTTTCATTCTTTGACATCACCAAGCCATAGGAAAACAAGCCTCCATGCTCAAGGTCAAATCTTATCTTTTGAAAACTATGCAACCCTCCCCTTGTGAATTCAGGGAACACTTAGAGGCCTCTGGGAGAGATAAAACCTGCATTTCAGAAGCTCTCCTGCCACAAGCTGGCTGAGCTGAGGGATCAAATCCACCCTTCCCATTTGTCCTTTGGATAAGGAAAGCCTTTCTAGATACAGTGGAGGAAAATCACAAGGGAAATGAAGTCATCTGTCAGATAACGCTCAAACTGGCGATGTCTTCTCCAAACTCCATAGGTCCCATTCACTTTATCTATGGTTACAGAGGAACCCAAGCCCCTGTTCCATGTCTGCAAGTTCATTATCTCACAATCCACCTCCTGCTCCCCCCTCCACACATGCGCGCACACGCACACACACACACACACACACACACACACACACACACATTTCCAAGTGTTCTTGCCAGAGAGTGACTCGTGTGTCAAAGCATGACCTATATGTCCCAATTCTTTCTGAGGTCTGTCTCGAGGTTAAGTCTGGATTCACTGCATTTCTTTGTGGTTAGTTTATCTTTTCCTGTTTGGCCAACTGCTAAGCTGGGTCCCTGCTGTCATCATGAGGGCAAGGATTGAGTAAGAACTGGGAGGAAGAGGAGAAGGAGAGAGTAGGAGAAGAGTCCTGATTCTCTCTCACCAAGTCCTAACCTGGAACCAAATACTGTAATGGTTGGAGAGAGGGGGGAAAGCCTTTTCCCTAAGTTCAGGCAGCCCTGTATTGGGAGGGCCACAGCAGCTAGGATGCTTTAATGAAACTTCTGGGCTAAAACATTTAAGTCTCCTTAGTCAAAGCCCACCTGGGGCCACACATAAAATTTCCTACAGGATAAACTATGTGCCTGGATATTCACCTCAGACTCTAAGATCAAAGGAAATCCCAATGGATCTAATAAGATCAAGGGGATTAAATAATTGGCATTTATACAGCATTTTCAAGTCTACAAAAGGCTTTATCTACTTTATCTCACTGATTCCCAGAAGTACCCTGTAAGATAAGTCCTACAGGCATCATTATGTCAGTTTGCAGATGAGGCAACTGAGGCTTAGAAAGGGAGATCACCTTCCATCAACTCTATAAATATTTGGCACAGACATACTTATTTACATGTCATCTCCTCCATTAGAATGTCAACTCCTCGAGGGTAGGAACATGGTTTTGCCTTTCTTTTTCTTTTTTTAATATGAGGCAGTTGGGGTTAAGTGACTTGCCCAGGGTGACACAGCTAGTGAGTGTTATGTGTCTGAGGCCACATTTGAACTCGGGTCTCCCTGACTCCAGGGCCAGCACTCTATCCACTGCACCACCTAGCTGCCCTTTGCCTTTCTTTATATCCCTAGCACTGATCAAAGCAAGAGAAGAGTCCTGATCCTCTCTCATCAAGTCTGAACCCAGAACTAATTACCACAACAGTCGAGGGGAGAGAGAAACACATATCATTAAAAGACATTATCAAAAAAAAAAAAGACATCATAATGATCATGGTAAAAGACATTATGTAATAAGCACCTAATAAATGCTTGTTAACTCTTTGCCTGATCACACACATTGGTTCTCTGTTGGACCGGGGACCCAAACTTGGGCTTCTTGACTGAGTCAAACACCAAATCTACCAGGCCACTCCAGAACAGAGGTTAATAAGGGCTTAAATGAAAGCAAAAAGAGGGAAGGGCAAAGGAACTAGGAAGCAAAAAAGGTAGGATCTGACCCCAAGGAGTAGAAAGGGCTCTGTGTCAGCAATCCGAAGCTCTGGGTTTGCCCATGGGCAAATCATTGTGTTTCTATAGGCCCTGTAGAGTAAAAGATCAGAACTAGATGACCTCTAAGGTCCCTTTTATGTCTCAATCTCTGATTCTTATGACCCCAAGTCCAGACAATGGAAGAAAATTCAGGGCAGATGTTATCTAGAGTGGAGAAAGCCCCACCCCAGACAGAAGCTGAGTGTTTCCACTTTGTACTTACCTACCTGCAAGGGCCAGCAAGAGCTCAGAACCCAAACTAGTGAATGCCAGCTCCTGCTACCCTTTTCCAATCCAAAGTCCTACAGAACCAGCCATGGTATTCAAACATGCCCCATGCGGGGCTTGGGTGGTTTTCCCCAGCTGCTCTGTGATAACTCCAAACTGAAATGCTGCCTTCAAAACCCAATGAGTCCCTGGAGGATTAGTCATAGCCAGACAGCCAAGTCCTAAACTTCTCAGTCTACAAGATTCTGGCCGCCAGATCCATTCATGCTCCTGCCAGGCAATGGGCTTGAACTTCCTGGACCCTCACCCAGAGGGAAGGGGAGGAGGTCTCTGGGGAGACCCAAGTCAGCCATGGTTAATGTCTCTCCCACCCAGGCTGGAAGGTGGGGCTCAGCTGGCTGATACCCTACATATCATTCAGAAGCTTTTGATTTATTATCTAGTTAAGATATTCAGAGCCAAGAACAGCAGGAAGTCCATTGTATAGATAAGTCCCTACAGTGTTTAGGCTTCAGCATTTATTAAATAGCAAGACAAACAGCACATGGAAAAAACAGCTCTTTGTTTACGTGTGAGGCCAGAAGAGGAGGGGTCCCTATATCATAGTCTACTACCGAAAAAGTTTCAGAAAGCTGATCCA